CAGTCCCTTAGAGAGTTTGGATGTGTCTATGGAGCTTCCACGACCTTGCCTTGGACAAGTTGTGTTGGCTTCACCTGTGTTGTGCACTGTCTTACCTTTCACCAAAGTGTGTTATCAATTTTGTAACTCTTCCTTTGGTGCTTGAAAAGACAACTATTGGGCTCAGTTTTCTGTGCATGAGCTTCTCAATTGCTTGTTCAAGTCTTCTATATATTTTTTGTTTTTTTAAAAAATTTGCTTGATCTGTTGATTAGTGAGACAATTGTGTTAAAATCTTCTACAGTGACTTTAGATATGTCTATTTTTCTTTGTAACTCTGCTACTTTTTCTTTGTGTACTTTAAGATAATATACTTAGGTGTAATACAAGCATTTAGAATTGTTACGTTTTCCAGGTTAATTTAAAAATTTTTCATTATACGGTGATTCCCTTTATATCTAGCTATGTTTTTTGCCTTAAAGTCTATTTTGGTGTTATTAGTAGAACAACTTTTTTTTGGTTAGTAGTTGCTTGGCATACATCTTTCATTCTTTGACTTTCAACTTTTCTATATTCCTTTTGTTTTTTAATTTCATTTATTTTGTTTTTGTTATTGAGAATATACACAGCAAAACATGCACCAATTCAACAGTTTCTAAATGTGCAATTCAGTGACATCGATTACATTCTTCAAGTTGTGCAACCATTCTTGCTCTCCTTTTCCAAGTTGTTCCTTCCCCATTAACCTAATCTCAACTTTTATATGTTCTTATATTTTAGAAATGTTTTTTGTTAGGAGTACTTATATGTATTTTGAAAACTTCAGTCTGGTTACCTTTGTCTTTTTATTGGAGCATTTAGTCCAATGTTATGATTACCGTTGTATTTGCACTTATTATTAGTCTTATTTTGTTCTTTCTAGTGTCTTAATTTTTCTGTTTCTTTTCTCCCTTTTCTTGCCCTCTTTTGAATTGATTCTTCTCATTCCGATTTTATCCTTTCTGAATTTTGAAGCTAACCACTTCATTTCTATTATTTGAGTGCTTAGCCTGGAAATTTTGAGATGTTAAAAAACTGTTTCAGCAGTAGATTGACAGGGAACTTGCAGAAATTCAAGCCGGGTTCAGAAGAGGACGTGGAATGAGGGGTATCATTGCTGATATCAGATGGATCTTGGCTGAAAGCAAAGAATACCAGAAAGGTATTTACCTGTGTTTTATTGACTATGCAGAGGCACTCAACTGTGTGGATCATAACAAATTATGGATAACATTGCAAAGAATAGGAATTCCAGAACACTTAATTGTGCTTATGAGGAACTTGTACATAGATCAAGAGGCAGTCGTTCGAACAGAAACGAGGATACTGCGTGGTATAAAGTCAGGGAAGGTGTGTGTCAAGGTTGTATCCTTTCACCATACTTATTCAATCTGTATGCTGAGCAGATAATCCGAGAAGGTGGACTATATGAAGAAGAACGTGACATCAGAATTAGAGGAAGGCTCATTAACAACCTGTGATACGCAGATGACACAAACTTGCTTGCTGAGAGTGAAAAGGACTTGAAGCACTTACTGATGAAGATCAAAGACCATAGCCTTGAGTATGGAATGCACCTCAACACAAGGAAAACAAAAATCCTCAGAACTGAACCGATAAGCAACATCATGATAAATGGAGAAAACATTGAAGTCAAGGATTTCACCTTACTTGGATCCACAATCAATGTCCATGGAAGCAGCAATCAAGAAATTGAAACGACGTATTGCATCAGGCAAATCTGCAAAAGACTTCTTTAAAGTGTTAAAAAGCAAAGATGTCACTTTGAGGACTCAGGTGTGCCTGACCCAAGCCATGGTGTTTTCAATCACCTCATATGCATGTGAAAGCTGGACAATGAATAAGGAAGATGGAAGAAGAAGTGATACCTTTGAATTATGGCATTGGTGAAGAATATTGAATATAACATGGACTACCAGAAGAACAAACAAGTCTGTCTTGAAAGAAATACAGCCAGAGTGCTCCGTGGAAGCAAGGATGGCGAAACTTTGTCTCACATACTTTGGACATGTTATCAGGAGGGATCAGTCCCTGGAGAAGGACATCATGCTTGGTAAGGTAGAGGGTTGGCGAAAAAGAGGAAGACCCTAGACGAGATGGATTGACACAGTGGCTGCAACAGTGAGCTCAAACATAGCAATGATTGTGAGGATGGCATAGGACCAGACAGTGATTTGTTCTGTTGTACGTAGGGTTGCTATGAGTTGCAACCAAACTGATGGCACCTAACAACAACAGCAACAACAACATAGTTAACTCACTCATTAAGTTTGATGTTCTGCAGTTTCAGTTTGAGGTTATAGAAGTGTTTCCTTTTATTTATCCTGCTTGGATTTCATTGGACTTCTTGAATAAGTCTATTGGTATCTTTTATTAGTTCTGAAAACCCCCAGGTGTTAATTTCCTCTTCAAATATTGCATCTGTCCCATCTCTCTCTCTGTCTAGAATTATGATTTTATGTATTCTAGACATCCTAACTATATTTTACATGACTCAACTTTTCTTCTCTGTTTTCCATCTTTTTGTATTATCATTAAGGATAATTACTCCAGCTTCCAGTTCTCTAAATCTCTCTTCATCTGTGTCTGTTCTGCTGCTAAACTCACTCACTGACTTTATAATTTTAGTTATTGTATTGTTCTATTTCTAGATATTCTATTTACTCTTTTAAAAATCTGGTTAGTCATTTTAATAGCCTTTTGCTGTTGCTCCAGTTTCAGCTTTAGGATTTTTAAACCATCTAGGCAATGTGGATTGAGGTTATAAAATCTAGGTGAGAATCAGACTGTAGTATGGATTGTCAGGGGAGATTTCCTCCATTTTTCTCAGTGCTAAGTTTATTTTCCTTGCAGTGCCCTGGCATCAGGGGTGAGTATATTTCTGGTTTAGCCTGACACTGAAGATGTTATCTATTTTCCCAAAGCTTTCCAGGCCATGAAAATTGAAGAGCAGGTTGACTAGTTTAACAGAAAAAAAGAGAGAAAAGATAAACCTTCAAAACACTTCAAAAACAAGAACAATGCACCAGGTAGTTTAAGCTAATAACAAAGCATTTATTTAAATAAAATAGAGTGAAGTAGGACAAAAAATGTCAGGTGAAACAAAAAATGCAATGCAGCAGTTGTACGTAGCCAGGTTTTCATCATAATCTGGGAGATTTCTTTGGGAAAGCTGCCAGTAGCTATTGCAGCAACCAAGTTTCTTTTAAAAGGGAAAGAATTGGATGTCAGGCTTGTTTTAGATAAAACAAACAAACAAACAAACAAAAAGCTCATTGCCTTCAGTTAATTCCAACTCATATCGACCCTAGAGGACAGAGTGGAACTGCCCCATAGGGTTTCCAAAGAGCAGCTAGTGGGTTCACCTGACCTTTTGGTTAGCTGAGCTCTTAACCACTAGACTCCACAAATGAGAAATCATAAAGTAAATGATTTTTGACACCTCAGGCTTTTTATGATGCCTCTGGGGCACAAATTACTTCTATTTTGATTAATTCATTTTGGATTTGCAAACCTGAGCACCTTGTGATTTGGGTGGGGCCAAACACACATGGTCCATAGGACCTGTCATTTGGACCCCTCTGGAGACCTTCAGGAAACCCTGGTGGCATAGTGGTTAAGAGATACGGCTGCTAACCAAAAGGTCAGCAGTTTGAATCCACCAGGCACTCCTTAGAAACTCTGTGGGGCAGTTCTACTCTGTCCTATAGGGTCGCTATGAGTCGGAATCAACTTGTTGGCAATGGGTTCAACCGAGACCTTCAAGGAGCCCTGGTGGAGCAGTGAGTTGGCATTGACTCAACAGCAACGGGTTTGGTTTATGAGTCGGCATCGACTTGACAGCAATGGGTTTGGAGACCTTCAGGGAGCTTCCACTAAGCAGAGGCAGGACTGCCCAACCGAGCCCTGAGCTGCAGCACCCGGGTAAGGGCCCCAGGGACAGTGGGAGGGTCCAAGGATATTCTAGCAAGCCCTTCATTAGCAATTCTTGTATTTATTTTTCCCATGGTTGGAGCAGGTTTTATTTTCTCTGCCCTGGAAGGACTGCCTATTGAGATGATTTCTGTAATCTGTCCTTTTCTTTGTGAGCAAGGAAGTATCCTGACACCATTTTTCCCTTGAAGAGACTTTGGAGATAATACAAAGATAAGGAACAGCTTTTGAGTGCTCACCTTGTCCCCAGCTCTTGAATCCTTTGCTTGGATTTGCTCATTTACTCCCCACAGCACTCTGAGAGAATGTTTAATCTGATAACCTCATATCCAGATGATGAAACTGATATCCCAAAGCAAGATTTGTCCAAGGTCTCTCCCAAAAGGCCTAGAACCAAAACCTTAATGTGACTTCAGATTCAGTACTCTTCCTACTATAAGTGATTGGCAATCCTTTCAGAGAAGCTTATGTAGGTGGAAAATATTGGCTTGTGTGTGTGTGTGATCTATATATACATAAATATAAATGTATAACTGTAATAGATGAAAACCATAGGGCAAATACTTCTTAGCATCTGTAAAAATAAATAAAGGCAAAGAAACAAGCTTAAGAGCAAACCTCTTTTCCAATTTACTTGGGAACTTGCTTAAATCCAATAGAAATTACATTTGGATTTTGCATTTAGGCAGCTGTGCAATCTACCAGAGATTTGAGTCTGAGGGTTTTGGATTCTATTCTTTGCCCTCTTGTTGAAGCGTTGATTTTATTTAACACATATAGTATTTCCTATATATTGGGTTCTAAGCTCTTTATTAACTAATTTAATCCTTATATCAGTCCTACAAGAAAGTATTGTTATTATTCCCATTTTATCAATGAGGAACTAAGCTGCGTAAAAGTTAAATAACTTGCTGAAGATCACTTAGCTAGTGAAGGGCAGAGCCAGGATTTGAACCCAGGCAGCCTGGCTCCAGCACCATCACCGCCCCCACCTCCACCTCATCATGCCATCTCTCCTGTCGATTCAGGGCAAGAAATCAAGTCTGCAATGCTGCAAGTATGTTGGAATTCATGGATAAAATGAGCCAAGGCAAGGAACATCTTACTGGTTTTTGATAGGGGGGAAAACCTTCTCTCCCTCTACATTGGTAAGTTCTCTTCTTCTTCAATTAATGTTTGTGCCCCTTCCCAGTAAACCCTCAGTGTTGTTGAATGAACCATGCTTTGTACTGGACAGGAGAAGGCCCTTCAGAGTCACTTGGTTTCACATAAATGCAGCCTCCTGAGTTAAACACTGATTCCTTCACTTAGCCTCTCTCTGCTGGCCTGCAGCTCTTTATGTGTCTTCTTAGTAGTAACTACCAGGTAGCATACTTAAAGGAGCTGGTGGAAGTCACTTTCAATGGTGATGATAATCTCCCTCTTCCCCTTTCATCTTTTCCCTCCTCAATTATTTGGTATTAAAAATAGCATTTGCATTTAGATGCTATTATGACCTCCTGGTCTGTCTCTGCTTGTTGACTGCTATAGCAGAAGGGGGACTGTTCTCCATGAGGTGCACACCGAGGTTTACACCCCCAGAGCTGTAGTCCACAGGCATTTTTGTCTATCATTTAATGTAGATTCTTCCACCCACCAGGCAAGAGGGTTCCTATCAAGCTGGTTTAACACCAGACACACCTCATGTGGTGGACATTAATGTCTTTGGTTAGATGATAGAAGGAAATATCCCTAATTCTTTTTTTGTTTGTTTGTTTGCGATTTCTTTTTTTTTTATTTTTTCCCATGCAAAAATTTATACATACATTGTTATGTGACTCTAATTGCTCTCCCCATACTATGACAGCAC